TTATTATTATTATTATTATTATTATTATTATTATTATTATTATTATTTTGTTTGTTCGTTTCTCGACACAGAGTTTTTCTGAGTAACAGAGCCCTGGGTGCTCTGGAACTCGCTTTGTAGACCAGGGTGGCCTCGAACTCCGAGAGATTCGCCTGCCTCGGCCTCCGGAGTGCGGGGGTGTGGGGGAGGTGGGGGGGAGTAATCAAAAGTGGGAACCACCAAGCCCATCGAGACGTAGTTCTTTTCCCAGGGAATTGTAGAGTCGGTAATAAAAGGAACTCCGCAGGCGTAGTGGCTTTAATACTTAAGGAGGCTTAAGTGGGCTGGTCCTCGTAAAGTGTATTGGAGGAGACAGGGATGGGAGGAGAGGAACAAACAAAACGGCTGCTTGTATTGCATTAATAGTGTTTACTGAAAACCGGGTTTGTTATCTGAGTACTTGAGTGAAGGCAGAAAGACCAGAAGTTAAAGGTCATTCTCAGCTATCTAGCAAGTTGGAGGTTAGCCTGGGCTAGATGAGACCCTGTTTTAAAAAAAAATTACTAGTGTGTCTGCTGTACACTGGCAGCTCTAGGTACTAGAAATGCAGTGAAGAATCTAGAGCTGGGCTAGCTGAAACTAGCTTTAGGGCCTAAGCAAGGGTCTGGCCTATTATGCCTTCTTGGGCATTGGGGATTGCATTAAAACCAGGAAAATTTCCCCCAAGTTATATCGTGTTTAAATTTGTTGAAAATAAACTACCTGGCATCAGAGCCCCAGAAGTCATGATCCAGGTTGACAAAGTCAATCTGCACCGAGTTTTCATTGTCACCCCTTCCCAGTCTGCTTTCCTGTCTTCCTGACATGTGCAGAGACGACCACACTTCTCCAGAGAACTGAATCTAAGTTCTCTTCTCTTTCGGACCGGACACACTTCCCATACGTGATTGTTACCCAGTTCCCTGGCAGATTATCATCCCTAATTCAGTCTCTCTACCTGGGGCCTTTTTCCTGAGCACATTTGCTTATTACTTATTGACTGCTCCGCTTATTACTTATTGACTGCTCACTGACAGTAAGGTGATCTGAGTTCACTTTCTTGCTAGATGCAGATAGTAAACCAGCAAGCAAGTGAACTACAGACTTGGGGGTGGGGGATGATGATGAGAAGGAATTGGAAAGTTGGGGTAAAACCGAATTGAGTGGTGTCAGGACCTCTCTCTTGGGTAATGCCATGAGGTAGGATGCCTTTTCTACTTGAACACTTAGGATACTTTACCTTGCACGTTTTGGCCTTCGCCAGAGGATGGACTGTCAGAACTCAGAGGCTGGGTCTCAGTTGTAGGATACCTTCTTTTCTAGATGTACTTACCATCATGTGGCTGACAGTTTTCCAGCTCTACAGTAACAGAAAGGCAATCTGCGTTTGGTAGGAACTGACCTTCAGATTTTGTCTTTTCTTTTCTTGGGTTTCGCAGTATGTGGCTCAGTAGAGAGCTGGGCAGCAGCCCTGAGCTGCAGTTCTGCTAATCCTGCTGTCACCCCAGTACTCCTCATACCATAATGCTAAGCTACCTCACCTCCTTTACATATATCGAATGCATCTCAAAGCGATGTTCTTCTCAGTTCCTTCCATCCCCACTCAGCATTCTGTGTCACCCAGTGTGTCCTTGAACTTCTGATCCTCTGCCTCACTTCCTGGCTGCTGGAACTGTAGCATGCACCACCACACCCCACTTATGGAATGCTGGGGATAGGTATTCGGCAAATTTAATTTTTTTTGTACATAAAAAAAAAAATACTTCCAGGGAAAATCATTAATTTGTTTTTTTTTTCTGCTTACATAGAAAATGTATTTATTCTTGAAAGTGGTTTGTTCATAATGTATGCGCAAGCTGATTTGTAAATTGTTATGTAAGCTAATCTTATGTTCAAAGTTGAGCAAAGATGTTGTATGCCGAGAGGCATTTTCTATCTTTTTTTTTTTTTTTAATTTATTTAGTTTTATTTCATGTGCATTGGTGTGAGGGTGTCAAATCCCCTGGAACTGGAGTTACAGACAGTTGTGAGCTGCCATGTGGGTGCTGGAATTTGAACCTGGGTCCTTTGGAAGAGCAATCAGTGCTCTTAACCACTGAGCCGTCACTCCAGCCCCCGCATTTTCTATCTTAATCTTAATTAACTCTTTAAAGAAGATTGCCCAGTTAAAAATAAAATGCATTAGAGTTTACTAAATGTTTATTTACTTCCCACAAGAAAAATAACAATTGTACTATTATACTCAGATAGATGCTTTCCTCAAAGAACATCAAACCATTTTAATTCCTTAAGTTAATTTGTCCCAAATTAATACTTTATCGCATTAGTAGTGCTTATGGAGTTAAGGATTATGTAATCAATATTCTAGTTAATATTAATATTCTAGTTAATAACTTGGCATTATTTAAAAGGAGCTAACAACTTGCAAAGTGTTTGAGAAAAAATGTGTGTGTGTATGTGTGTACATATGTACACCTGCCAGGCATGAGTATGGAGAAGAGGGGACAACTTTGTTTTTGTTTTCTTTCTTTCTCTCTTTCCATATTTAAGGGTGTTCCTGGGATCAAACTCAGGTTGGTAGGCTTTTGCAAGAAGAATGTTTAGCTGCTGAGCCCTCTCACTGGCCTCAAAGTTCTTTTTTATCTAACATGACAACTTTGTAATTTGAGTAGTGTTTTTTTCTTCTAAGTCTTTCTCTGTCTCTCTGTTTTTTTCTCTCTCTCTGTCTGTATGTGCATGCACGTGTGTGGAGAAGAGAGGAAAACCTTGGTGTTGGCCCTCACTGGTGGTTTTCTTTGCTGCATATGCCAGGCTAAGGGGGCCCTGAGCTGAGACTTTGAACTCAGCTATGGCGCCTGACTTTATCAAGGCGGAGGGGTTTGAACTAAGGTCTTCTTCCTTGTGTGGCAAGTGCTTTACTCATTTTTCTATCCATCTTGCATCTGCATTTTTGGTTTTATAAACTGTCAGTGTCTGACGCTTACTGACAGGTTGGTTGCTCTAGCTTTGATGTTTCTGTTGCTGATGCGCATAACAATGGGCCATGTGCAAATAAGCGTGCGGACCCTTAGCTTTCACATGGTGAATATTTATAGCAAAGTGTTTCTTTGCCTTTTCTAATCCATAGATTGTTTTCTATTCCTTTGGCTATGGTCATTTTTAATTATTTTGAGATGAACCAGTTTTATTACTGTTTTTTTCAGTCAGGTTCTAGGATGACAGGTGTGTCGCATGAGGCCCAGCTCATTATTGTACATTTTAAGGTCAAGCTCTTAATCTGCTAATCTTTTTTCTGCTTATGGTCAGATTCTCATTGGTGGCTCCTTCCTTTTCAAAGGGGAAGGCAGATTTGAAGGTAGTACTGATAACTATTTATTTTTTTCCTCTGTTGAGGATTTTTTCCTTTTCTTTTTTTTTTTTTCTATTCTGTTGGAAGCCTACTGAAATAAAGGAAAGAGGGAACAGTGGAACAGAATAAGTAAAAGTTTTAGGATAATTCAAGGAAAAATCCAGAAATAAATACATCATTATATAGTACAGCATTAAAGAATGAACAAGGGTTCTTGGAGTACAATAGACCAAGAGTGAGCCTAAATTTGAAATCTCCATTCTGTCCCAGTGTCTTCCATCAGCCCTGTTTATGATCAGTGGTCCATCTGTCTTCTGTCTGTTATCTGTATCTTAAGTCTGTCTCTAACACAGGGCTTCTCAATATTTATTGAATAGCACAGAAAACATGGAATGGGAAAGAAAGGAATTATTTATATATAAAATTTTTAGTGGAATCTTACAAGGAAGGTGTTATTTTGCTGACTCCAAATGACCCAGAATAGTACTTAAAACCACAAGCAGATGTTATTAAACTATATCCCGATGTTGCTTCCAGCATTTATGGTGGATACTTGTTTTTTTTTTTTTTTTAATTACTTTCAACCTGTTGTCTGCTTTCAGCACATAATTGCCACCTTTCTGTGGCTTTCTGTCTGTCTGTCTGTCTCTGTCTCTCTCCCCCACTCTCAAATGTGTGCACGCACTATTTGGGTCAGAGGCATGGAAGAACGCGTGGTTGAGATTAAAGATCTGAGTTTAGCTTGTGTTGTAAAAGCTGATAGTGAAGTCCAAGGCAGAGTTAGATTGAGTTACATTGTTTTCTTAAAGGCAGTTAGTCAGAGTGAGTATATATTAGGGAAACAGATTAAATACATAGTTTTAAATGGTCTCGGTATATTATTAGGTTGCATGGTCTGGCACAAGTTTAGTTCTGAAAGCAAGAGGTATTTTCAGAAAAAGCTATTCCCACAAACAAAGAAACAAAGAAACAAAAAATAGGAATGCAGTAAGCCCACAGAGCTTGCAAAGAAGATTAGAAGAGTCAGCTCAATAGAAATATGTCTAATGTGTTTGCTTACGTGGTAAGTCTTTGACAGAGTTACCTTTGTTTTTGAGTTGGAGTAACATATTGAGAGAATGTCCATCATTGTAACTGTTAAAAGTTTGCATTCTGTGGTGGTTTGAATGAGAATGGCCCCTATAGTCTCAGATTTGAATGTGGACTGTTGGTAGACTGTTTAGGACTAGGAAGCATGGAATTGTTGGAGGAGGAGTATTACTGGGCTTTGAGGTTTTAAAAGCCCAAACTAGTCCCAGTCACATTTCCTCCCTGCCTTACGCATGTGCGTCAGATCTAAAGCCACTGCTCCAGCACCATCCCTGCTGCCTACCGCTTTGCTCTGCACCGCGATGGTCGTGGCCCCTAACCCGCTAGA